AAAGTTTTAGTTTGGAAAGATGAAGAAGTTCTGGAGATAGGCAGTTGTAATGATAGCATATCACTGTGAATGTACTTAATGCCACTGTACAGCATATATATTATACGACTAAAAATTTTATGTCTATTTTATGTTGTATCTATTTTATCGCAATAAAAAAGTCAGTATCTTTTACAAAGTTTTGTTCATATTTTTTAATTAAGCAAAAATTTATATGAATTCCTTTTTTTGCTTAAATTTTTTTATTTTTATTTTAGATTCAAGGGTAAGTGTGCAAGTTTGTTATACAGGTAAACTCGTGTGATAGGGATTTATTGTACAGATTATTTTGTCACCCATGTACTAAGCATAGTTCCCAATAGCTACTTTTTCTGTTCCTCTCCTTCCTCCCACCCTCCACTCTCAAATAGGCCACAGTGTCTGTTGTTCCCTGCTTTGTGTCCATGTGTTCTCATCATTTAGCTCCCACATATAAGGGAAAACATGCAGTATTTGGTTTTCTGTTCCTGTGTTAGTTTATTCCAACTCGATCCGTGTTCCTGCAAAGAACACAATCTTGTTCTATTTTTGTGGCTGCGTAGTATTCCATCGTGTATATGTTCCACATTTTCTTTATTCAGTCTACCATTGGTGGGTATTTAGGATGATTTCATGTCTTTGTTATTGTGAATAGTGCTGCAATGAGCATATGCATGCATGTATCTTTATGATAGAACAATTTCTGTTCTTTTGGTAATAGAATCCTAGTAATGGGATTGCTAGGTCAAGTGGTAGTTGTATTTTTAGCTCCTTGAGGAATTGCCACACTGCTTTCCACAATGGTTGAATTTTATACTCCCACCAACAGTGTATAAGCATTCCCTTTTCTCTGCAACCTCACCAGCATCTGTTATTTTTTGACTTTTTAATAGTAGCCATTCTGACTGGTATAAGATAGTATCTCATTGTGGTTCTGATTTGCATTTCTCTAATGATCAGTGATGTCAAACTTCTTTTTATATGCTTGTTGGCCATATGTATGTCTTCTTTTGAAAAGTGTCAGGTCATGTCCTTTTCTATTTTAACTCTGGCAAAATTAATATGCCAGATTAAGGATTTTTTTTAAAAGATTTTATTATGTAATTTAATTTTAAATCTTTTCTTTTTATTTTCCTGGTATGTGAAAGTCTAAAAAATATAAAGAACTGGTTTGGACTGGAAATATCCACTATAATATAGAAAAAATATATTATACTAGATATCAATAAAAATCCAGGTTGTCTTTTAAAAAATTACCAGGAATAATTACATATCCAGGATTGTACTACTAAACTTTCTAAAAAGAAGATAATTTTTATTGTAATTAAACTATTATATTTAAAAACATTTTTTTAAAGATTCTGTTTATGAAAGAAGTACATTGGTATAATATCTAACCCAAAAATATCATGAAAAAGGAAACCACAAGTTAATCCCATTTATTAATGTTAATTAAGAATACATCATGACCAAATGAGTTGCCTTTCTCAAATGCAAAGATGACTAAATACTAAAAAATAATTTATTCCATTTAGCTATCCAGAGAAAAAACATAAAATTATTTCTGATGATGATAAAAAGACACTTGAAAAACAATTCAAAAATTCTTAGTTTAAAAATTTTTTCATAGACTATAAATCAAGTGATATACATGAGGCCAAACACCAACATCATACTATATAGGCAAAAACATTCCTCCTAAAGTCCAAAACAGGAAATAAGAAAATTACACCCATTATTACAACTATTATATAACTTTGGACTACAGGTGTTAGCCATTACATGATTATTACTCATATAGTCAAAGGAGATGTTCCTATTGAGTGGGTCTATGAAATATGACCACTTATATAACAGAGAGGAGGGAGGCTATTAGTCTCACTCAACCAAATGGAATGATTTTACTCTAAACAGAGGGAGTATCAGAAAGCAGATAGAAGGAAAAGAGTTTAGGCACACACAACCAAAGGGTCCTCAAGTTACTTCCACTACTCTAATTCTTCACTGGCTCCCCACCTACCTACAAAACGATTCAAAATATCTTTCTAGTCATCCAGCTTCACCTTAATTATCCACCAATCACCTTCCACTTCCATATGTTGCAATTTAGTTGCTCAGAAATATTTGGGCTGTGACTTGCCCCTTAGAGAAAACCCCTCAAAGTTGACCTTGGACAAAGTTATTTGGATTTCACTATGCCCAGGACCATAAAATTATGTCCTGCAAGCCAAATAACCTACAGCCTATTTTTGTACTGCTTGTGGGTTAAGAATGGTTTTTACATTTGTAAATACTTGGAGAAAAAATAAAAAGAAAATTACTATTTTGTGATGCAAAGACTATATGCAAATTTTAGTGTCCATAAATTAAGTTTAATTGAAACACAGACGGTCATTCATTACACACTATCCATAGGTATTGCTGTGCTATCATGGCAGAGCTGAGTAATGGTAACAGGGACCTTATGGCTTGCAATACTGAAAATATTTGCTATCTAATACTTTACAGAAAGAGTTTGCCAGCTCCTAATCTAGAGACACACAATCCCCTCATCATGGTTGTGTCCCTAAGATGCAATTCTATGAATTTCATATGGATCCTTTCTCACTGCTGAGAATGCCAAAATGTTGGACATTTTTAAGTGCAAAAATAAGTTTATTTAATTTTATTAGCTTTTGCTGAATTATTGATTGTAGACCCATTCTATGATCTTATATCCATATCAATTTCCATATTGCCTTAAACTAATAGATTCTTTTCCCAGATCTAGATTTCCAATAACAATTGCATTACTATTTTAAAATATGAGAGATCTAAGCATATTTAATTTGAGTTTTAGGACCTCAACAAACGTCAACCTCTGATTCATTTCATGTCTGTTTTATAAGCCAGGGCATTCTGTAGTTTATTGGTGGTAGCTTTTTTTCCCTTACGTGTTGCTATGATTGCAAACTGGAATATTTTAGGTCAGGTAGAACTCTAAGTTCATTTCTACAAATATAGGACTCTCAGTGTATGATATTGGGTTAAGTTGAAACGATTTTTCCCTTTTAAAGTTAAGGCAACCATTCTCAGTCCTCTTGCTCTTCTCTTGCTGTGACTTCCTTCTTACAGTAAAAGATCAAAGACATTCCTCTGTCAAGGGCAGCAGTGTAGGAGCTGGTGAAGGAGAGACTGTCCAGAACTTCTTGCTCATGCAGTCCAAGTCTCTAGTGCAGAAGCTGCAGTGCTCCTCGAAGACCTTGTAGCTCAAGCACATTCCCTTGCTGCAATATTCCAAGGATACTGGCCTTATATCTTGAGGTTGGTGCCAAATGACCCCCATGGATGATGGAAGTCTGAACCTTCCCCAAGTGGGGCATGATGAGCTTTCTTGGGGGACCCATAACAACAAGAAAACCCTTCTCCTGTGGTACCACATCTCTGTTGAGTACAAACTCCCTGGAGATAATGCCGAGGAGTCAGCAATACCATCAGAGGAGGGTACTATGACTTCACTAGTAGACCAAACGAGAAGTGATACTGCTGTCAACTTCTGTGACAACAAAATGAACTAAAAAAGAAAGGTATCCTTTGTGGTGTCAGTGCTCTAGTAAGCAGAAAATCTGTAAGGCTCCTAAGAACATCCTGGTGGCTGGCAGCCATTTCTTTAAGACTTTATATAGCGTTAAAAGCTAAGAAAGCCCTAACCAAAATAATACTACCCACTTAGATATTGCTGCAGTCAAAATTTTTCAGTCTTTGTGGACTTCTTGTATTCTGGTAACCTGGTGCTCACAAACCAGAATAATGATAGTGACCTATCTTCAAACAAGTGAAATTTCAAACTTGCTGAAATTTTATTAAAGATGCCTAAATTTATTAAAGATTAAATATAAGCATTAAATCAGAAGTTCCAGGGTCTGCAGTTGTGGACTATAATAATAGAAAACCAGGCTGGGCATAGTGGCTCATGCCTGTAATCCCAGCACTTTGGGAGGCCAATGTACATGGATCACTTGAGGCCAGGAGTTCAAGATCTGCCTGGCATACATGGCAAAACCCTGTCTCTACTGAAAATACAAAATTAGCCAAGGGGGGGTGGCTCATGCCTGTAATCCCAGCTACTCAGGAGGCATGAGAATTGCTTGAATCTGGGAAACAGAAGTTGCAGTGAGCCAGGATCCTGCCTCTACCCTCCAGCCTGGGTGACAGGCAAGACTGTCTAAAAAACAAACAAACAAACAAACAAACAAATAAACCTCAGTTAATAGAGATGGTCTGTCTTCATTATGGGATCAAAATTATGGGAAACATTAAATCTTACCAATTTGGCAAGTAACATAAAAATTGAAAATGATGGCTGTAATGTCAACAAGGGCCAAACAGAAAACTACCAAGTGAATGACAATGGTTGGGTCCAGAATGCATCTCCTGAAATGGCTGAAAACAAATCCAAAGGTCAAACAAGTGTTTGCTGGGAATAATATGGGCTCCCAGGGAATTCAAGAAACTGGGAAACACGGAGGAAAAACCAAACTACAAAGAGATTTATTTATAATACATCATCTAACAATGAAACAAATTTGGAAGATTACTCAATGATGCAGCCACCTATTGCCTTTTCAGGGGAAAATACGCTACTCATATTTGAGTAGAAATCTTGGAAGAACCAGATTTGGATGTTGCTCTACTTTCAGGGCCAGATGATGATAAGAATGTATTAGCTGAAGCTGGGTCTAATCAAGATGGAGGTGATATTAGAACTTCACATGGTTTTATAATAAGTGTGGTTTGACGCCTGGCACTTCAAGTGACTTCAAGTATGAGTTGATACCAGATACTTCAAATGATTTCAAGTATCAGTTGATACCAGGTCCTTCAAATGATTTCAAATATGGATTATTGCCAGAATCTTGGCCAAAACAAGAAACTTGGGAAAATGGTGAATCATTCGTGTTAGGTTGTTCTTGTGTTGCTATAGAGAAATACCTGAGAGTGGGTAATTTATAAAGAAAAGAGATTTAATTGGATCATGGTCCTGCAGGCTTTACAGAAGCATGATGCTTGCATCTGCTTGGCTTCTGGGGAGGCCTCAGGAAGTTTACAATCATGCCAGCAGGTGAACGGCGAGGAGGCATCTCACATGGTGAGAGAGGAGGCAAGAAAGAGTGTGAGGGCGGGGAGGAGGTGCCATACACTTTTAAATAGTCAGATCTCTTGAGAACTCACTCACTATCACACTCTCATGAGGACAGTATCAAGCCATGAGGGTTCACCCCCATGACCCAAACATCTCCTAGCAGGCCTCATCTCCAACACTGGGGATTACATTTCAGTATGAAATTTGAGCACAACAAATATCCAAACCATATCATCATCTCTAATCATGAATAAGTTAAAATGCCATCATTGTAGCTATGCAGCCAAATGCAACACTAAAAAGGCACTTGCTTATTCATACATGAGTATTTAGCTGTGATTTTTTTACACTTGAAGAAAACATGAAAGAAAACATTTCTTGGTGCATAAGAAGGATAAAAATGCAAATGTATGGTATGTAAGAAGATCATGTTAGCAGCCAGTGTTGGAGTAAGACATGGATCTTGACCCTATGGTTTTTGTGTGGGCTGTACAAATAAATCACAGCCAGGAAGGCAAGAAAGTATAGATGAGAGACAGGATACAGAATCCCTCATGATAAAGACTATGAGGAGAATGAAGCAGGAGATGATGAAAAGCGGGTTGATGATGGAGATCAGAATGACCCATCTCAGTGGGATGAATTAGCAGGTGTTTGTATGTCTCTAGATATTTAACTGGCACACTATATTCCTCAAGGATACTGCATTTGTACAAAATACAAATTGACAGTTTGGATTGTTGAACTTAAAGGCTTGCAAAATGTGGTACATGCTATTTGGTAGTTATGTTGCTATGAGAACTGTATGATCAAAGCCTTATAGCAAAAAAATGTTTTAATATTTGCAAAGGACTGTACAACAAACAATCATGTGGTTGAATTACATGGAGTCTTCATATATTTTGTTGGTTATCAAACTAAAGTATTTTTTACTTATTGGATGTACAGTAACTATTTGGGGCTTACGAAAATATAGTACCTGTCCTTATAGAGCTCACATTCATGTGCAACTCTAACATGACTGAAGAAATTCATTATGGAAGTACAGTGACAGTCGACCCAATCACTCAGTTCATCAAACTCCCCAGGTTAGTCTGTACTAGCAGAGTTGTGTTTCTATATTTATTTTTTACTTTATTAATTTTATTTTTAATACAGATTTTCAGTAAGGGGCATTTTCAACCTCATTGGTTCTGTTTTCTTGTCTTTTCCATTTTAATTTGCTTCATAACTTAAACCAAGTCTCTTCTAGTCTTAGTGATTATGTCTCAATTATGTGCCAGTGGGCATGTTTTTAAGAACTGAAGAAGTAATTTATTGCAATGAACTAACTGACTTCCTCCATTCCTTCTTTCCTTTTTGACATGAATTTTACTGCCCCACAAATGAAAAATGATGTTGCAAAGTTACTGTGGTGAAGTTGAAAAATATCACTAAAATGATTATAATTTAGTATTACCTTTCTCCTGCTGCTCTAATCCGATGAATTCTTACTATATAGTGTGTTCTGACATGGTATTTGGTTTTAGGTATCTGTTACTTTGGTGCTATTCTTGTTTGCCTTTTCTTATTTTTGCCAGTGTACTATACCTCAGTCCTATTTAGAAGACCTGATGGAAAGAAAAGTCATGTAAATAATAAGTAAAGTGATTTGTTTTATGATTTATCCACCATGTCCAGTTTGGTAGCTTGTTATGCAGTATAAGTGAAATATCAGGTTTTTACCCTATGCTCTTTTTAATCATTAAAATTAATACAAAATGTATATGGCAGTTGGGGGAGACATTCCGCCATGAAAATTGAGAGAAGGTCCTGGTAAAGAGATTTGCTTCTTTATTTTCTAGGAATATTTAGTCTTCTTAGAGTGGACTGGTCATATCTGGAATGAGGTGCTTCCTGAGAAATCTCTGGATCTCCTTCCAAGCATGTTCCTGTGCAGCTGCGTGTGGAATCACTTCTCCTCCCCAGTGTAACTTCAAATCGCGGGTCATTGAGGCACAGCACAGAGGAGAATAGGGAGGTTCTATCAGGTGGCCTGCCCCAGGGTAAGATAGCAGGGTCCAGTTGTTCTTCCCATGTCTCCTCAGCTGTCCTATGGCTTGTTCAGCATGTGCTTTGCTGTTGATAATCTTATCGCCTTCTCCTACAATGAAGAGGAAATGCCCCTGGGCCTCTTCAACAGGAAACAAATATTGACTGGCCCCAACTTCAGTTGTCTCATAAATGCGATAGAGCTCTAGTAACCCCAAGGCACTGGTGGATATTAATTGTGCAGAATAGGGAAAGGGCTGATAGATCTTACCACGATACACCTGTGGAATGCCAAAAGGAAAGTTAGTTCCATTAATAAGTACCGTGGCTGTGACTTGCTTTAGGTTAACAGCCATAGATAGTCCAATCTGTACTCCTTGACATACAGAGACTACCCCAACGCCTGGGCCAAAGACCTGAAAAAAAAATAGAAATGAGAAATTATTTTATCCTTCATTTAGGAAAACTCCACAATCTCAAACCACCAAAGAACTTCAATGGCTAATGAGAACAAAGCAAGTATTAATCCTACCCACATCCCTAGATATAGATTTCTGGAATATATAATATGTATTCAAAAGAAATACTCCAAAAATATGTCAAGCTTTACTGACTGTATATTATGGATTCAGCATTGTGTTAGGTTCTGAGTTTAAAATGCCCTAAAGAAATACAAATGTCATAAGAAATGGCAGGTGGCCATTGTGAATAATGTGGGTCAGGGTATAGATGATTGGTAAACTTTCTTGCACCAGTTTTGAGCTCCCTTCAGAGGAAAGGGCACCTTGTAGGAAGAGACTGAGAAAGAAAGTGAGATCATAGGATAGAGTTGAACAGAGGATTCTAGATTTGCTTTGGTTTTTCCAAAAGTTTTCTCATTGTAGAGAAAAATGTCATAAAGGAGGCTTGGCTCAGCTTCCTCCCTCATTGCCAGTCATCAAATAAGCATCCTTAAATCATCTACCCTAAGGCAAGCACTGGGAGTCACAGACAGAAAACTAACAATCTCTTGTCATTAAGGAACTCACTGCCAGATGAAGAGATAGGAGGAAAAAAGAAACACAACACGTGATTGGAGCATCATAAATTCTATGATATAAGACTGCATATAGGCTAGACTGCCAACCCAGATTAGCAGGGAATAAAGGCAGGATCAAAGAAAGGCTCTCAGAGGAAATGGGCTACAAAACAAAATGAGTCTTCATATCAAAAAATGAAAGCCAAGCCTGGGCAACATAGTGAGATCCCATCTCTACAAAACTAAAAAATTAGTTGGATATGGTGGTGTGTGCCTGTAGGCCCAGCTGCTCAGGAGGTTGAGGTAGAAGGATCACTTGAGCCCAGGAGTTCAAGGCTTTAGTCAGCCATGATTGTGCTAGTGTACCCCAGCCTGGGCAACAGAGTGAGACCCTGTCTCAAGAAATAAAAATAAAAATAAAAATAAAGTCAATAAGAAGAAATGGTATTCTGTGCTGAGTATAGCAGACACTGTTAGTTGCCTACACTGGAGCCATTCTCCACAATTTCAAAGCTAATATGACCTTGATTTTGTGTGGTGTAGCAATATATCCAGCCCCAATGGATAAATTCTGAGGGATCCTAATCTATTTCCCTTTCTCAGCCTTTCTTCTAAGGCCAACATATTCTACCTAAGGACTTTTTCCCCCGCCGTGCAAAATGACACAGAATCATGAAGAGAAAGCCTATGTTTATGATCATTCTTTTCAGACTAGTGTGCTGGCCTGTTGACTTAATTCCTGAAACTGCCAGAGTCATTCTGTGATCTTCAGAGTAAGGCTAGAAAATGGCAGAAATGTCAATCTAATCTCCTTGATCAAAAACTACACTGAGTTTCTAAGCCAAAGTTTGAACCATCTATCACCAAATCTGTTACGTAAGAGAATAAGATGCCTTATGTTGATGTTGTTTAAGCCACCATCAGCCACTTTTCTGGAAAATGTAGCCAAAACATTCCTAATGTATTCACCATGGGAGAAACACATGCGAAAACTGAGAGGCAATGAAGAGCAAGGCATTTAGAGGAACCACAAGTAGTTCTTCATTATTTTAATTTAGAATATAAGGTGGGAAATAACATAGTAAGTCTGGAACAGAAAACACCAACTTTATGGTGCATAGTTTTGAAAGATAGATAAAGCATCTTCAGTTTTTTTCCTAACTAAGGAGGAGAATTAGGACAAATTTTAAAGATGGGCATAAGATAAGACTAAATAAGTACACAGAAGTCAGATCATAGGAAGTTTTGTCTAACATGCTAGGAAGCCTGACCTTTATCCTATAATAAATAGGGAGACTCTTAAGCAAGTGAGTAAAATAGTTGTGTTCTAGGAAGGCCCATTTTACAACTGTGACTTGCATAAATGGAGGCAGAAAAGCCATAGCTTAATGCACTGATATAAGCAGGAAATTATAATGTCCTGAACTAAGGTAATACCAGTGAAAATGAAAAGGAAACCACGTGTTCAAGAGTTATTCTTGAGTATTGAGTGTATTGCTCCCAGTTACCAATTTGGTTGGGAATTCTAAGGAGGAGTTAAAGAAAACAGTTCTTTGTGCCACAAAATAAAGCTCTGATTCTCCTTGAGCACTGGCTCCTGGCAAGGACAGAGTCCCAGAGAGAAGCATCACTTTTCTAAAACCTTTGTTGACTTCCTGTATTTATTTTAATTGATCTTCTATATTTTACAGGCATTTTATAAACCAATGTTTGGGATATTTTCCCTACTACTTAGAAACACATGAATCAATATACAACTCATGATAAGCTGATGAAAATGTGAGAAATTCTTAGGGTAAGAGGGGGAAAAAAGTAAACAAATGGAATGAGTCATATATACTCTTTATTTCCTACCCTGTATATTTAAGACGGGTGGCTTGAATCAATTAAAAGTTCCTTTCAAGCTCTGAAATTCTGTATTTTTTAAATCTTTATTTTTATTTATTATTTATTTTTATTTTTTGAGACTGAGTCTCATTCTGTCGCCCAGGCTGGAGTGTAGTGGTGCAATCTCAGCTTACTGCAGCCTCCACCTCTTAGGTTCAAGCAATTCTCCTGCCTCAGCCTCCCAAGCTGGAACTACAGGCGCCCGCCACCACACCCGGCAAATTTTTGTATTTTTAGTAGAGATAGGGTTTCTCCATGTTGGCCGGGCTGATCTACTACTATGATATGGGATAGAGTTGGAGTTTATTAAACCTTGTTAATTGCCTGGTTAGGTGATCTGCCCACCTCAGCCTCCCAAAATACTGGGATTACAGGCATGAGCCACTGTGCCCGGCCTTTTATTTTTAATTGACAAATAATAATGATACATATCTATGAGGCACAATGTGATATTTCAGTGCATATATACGTGGTGGAATGAACAAATCAGGCTGATTAACATATCCATTACCTCACAGACTTACCATTTCTTTGTGGTAAGAACATTTAAAATCTAATCTTTTAGTAATTTGGAAATATACAATACATTATTATTAACTATAATCACCATGCTGTGCAATAGATCACCAGATCTTAGTCTTCTTGTCTAACAGAAACTTTGTACCCTTTGACCTACCTTTCTCCCCCAATCCTATAGCTTAATATAAAAGATAGAGAGTGACAGTTATGGTAAGGAAAGATGGGAACTCAGAATGGATTTGGCCATGGAAGATAAACTAAAAGCAAGTGTAACATGAATGAACAAAAAAGCATGACTCAAATCTGTGCAGGCTTTTTAATATGTTTCTGGCCCTTGTCAAAACAGTAACTCTTGTTACAACTTCTACCACAAAATTTGGGATCAGGAAATTTTGAGTTCTTAGAAGTTACTTAAAATCAATACATAGAGAAATATGACCTGCAAGAAAGATCTCTGTTCTATCATCCTGCAGAAGAAACAATGTGAAGTAGGTTTAATGGAATTTCTCAGAGTCTGGGGGAAAAAAATCTGGTTTCCAGGCCTGGATTAATCATTAACTAGCTATCTATGTGACATTGGCAACGACAGTGATGAAAAAGTCATGTAGCGAATATAAGGGGAACGAGGCAAAGACAGTAAAAAAAGAGAATCACATAACCTCTCCACTTCTCATCTAAGCCAAGAAGGCGGCTCACAATGATAATATTGACTGACAGTTTAAGGGCAGTTCCATTATATGCATCAAAAATAGCCATTTAAAATGTTCAATACATCAGTAGATTGTCAGTAATTGTTGCTTATCTTATTTCTGCAAACCTGATTATATTTTGGTGATCCTTATATAAAAAGCTATGTAGTATGGAGATTTAATTTTACTTCAGTTCTTATTAAGAAAAATTAGAGGCCAAGGCAGGTGGATCACTTGAGGTCAGGAGTTTGAGACCAGCCTTCCCAAAATGGCAAAACCCTGTTTCTACTAAAAATACGAAAAGTAGCCAGGTGTGGTGGTGCACACTTATAGTCCCAGCTACTCAGGAGGCTAAGGTAGGAAAATCGCTTGAACCTGGGAGGTGGAGGTTGCAGTGAGCTGAGATTGTGCCACTGCCTCTAGCCTAGGCGATAGAGCAAGACTCTGTCAAAAAAAAAAAAAAAGAAAAAAAAAAAAGGAAAGGAAAGAAAAAATATTGGACAATTAACAAGGTTTAATAAACTACAACTGTATCCCATATCATAGTAGCAAAGCACATGTTTTAAAATTTTAAAAGGCATATGGATTGGAAACTACTATAGTGTTATGTATAAGGGCTCACAAGTAACTAAAAATTCAGACTCATTCCTCAAAGAAATACAGATTATCTGTCCAGTTAAGTATAGTGATGAGAAAAATGATAGCTAGTTAATAATTAGAGCTATAAGATAAGGCTGAAGAAGTATGCAGAAGTCAGATCATAGAAAGTTTTGTCTAACATTTGTTCATCTTTGAGCGCTTAGTATTGCCAGGTTCTATGATAAATATTTTGCATGCATTTTTCTTTTCTTTTTTTTTTTTTTTTTTGAGACAGAGTCTCGCTTTGTCACCCAGGCTGGAGTGCGGTGGCAGGAACATGGCTCACTGCAGCCTCAACATCCCGAGCTCAAGCGATCTTTCCTCCTCAGCCCCTGCTGAGTAGCTGGGACTACAGGTGCCCACTACCACACCCAGCTATTTTTTTAGTATTTATAGAGAAAGAGTTTGGCTATGTTGCCCAGGCTGGTCTTGAACTGTTGGCCTCTATTAATCCTCCCATCTTGGTCTCCCAGAGTGCTAGAATTACAGGCTTGAGCCATCACACCCGGCCAGTTCCTTTTTAAAAAATAACCATAATATCCTATGACTTCTCTTAACTTCCAAGTACGATTCTCAGTGAACTTGAAATTCTATTCATGCCCATGTTATTTATAATTCACATGATTTATTTCTCATCCAGTGTCTTTTGCTCAGAAAGACAAAATGCATAGGAAGTTAGCCTGTGCCCATCATAGTATCAAAAGGCACTGGCTTCTGGCCAAGTGTCAGATTATGCCACTGCACTCCAGCCTGGGTGACAAAGCAAGACCCTGTCTCTTAACAAAAACAAAAACAAAAAACCCCAGGGATTCAAACCTACTGAAAAGGCAAAAATTACCTTCGGATGTCTCAGGAGAAAGTTGGCAGCCTCCTCAAAATATTCCAAATCTGTTACTTCTGGTTTGGCGGGCAGGTCTTCATAGTTAAAGTAAGCCAAGGCCAAGGAGGCAAAGCCACGACTGGCTAGGAGGCTGGCCCGAAATTCAAGCAGCCCACCCAAACCACCAAACAAATCAATCACCCCTGGGAAGCGACCCTCTCCTGAAAAATAACAAAACAGAATTGTACATGAAGAGAAGGTGTGGAAAAGATAAGAAAAACTTGAAAATACAAAGCAGAAATGCAAATGATAAGATAATAAAAGAAAAGATAAAATAAAGATAATAAAAGCATGAGAAGACAAAGCAGAAATGCAAAATTACATTCAAATATAATTTTGAAATTAACATTTAAATTTTCAGATACAATTCCAACACTTTTAGCCTTCTCCCTGGGGCAGAATTAAGGCCCATTGACTATACAATGGAATACAATATCTAGATGTTTGACTAGGAACTACATTCACTGACATATTTACTATCTTCAGCCCAGGAAATGGGAATTCATGGTAGTTTCTATACTCTTGTTGTAAAGAAAGGCATAGAAATTAGGCTGGGGCTTCTTAACCTATAAAGAAGTATACAGATAAGTTTTAGGAAATCCATGGAGATCCTGAAATTACAATATATGCAAAATATGGTGTGTGTGTATATATATATATATACACTTACAGATGAATTTTACTTATGAGAGGTTCCACAGATTTAATTTGGTTGTCAAAGAAATACATGGTTCAAAAAAATTTTTTGCCATGATTGTATTAGCTAAAATCCTGACTTAACACTGCTCTGCTACATTCATTTGACTATACAGTGATGAAATCTTACACCTAAGCATATGTCAATGATGAGCCCTTTTATTCAATAACACCATGTTTATTTTCTGCAGGCTGACACATGGTAAAAAGTAGGGACGGTCAGAGTATCATCCTACACTCACTCCGTATAGGCAGCTTTTTTCCAAAATAAAGCAGAGCCCACACACTGAAAGAAACTTACGATGCACTTATTGGGGATATTCTGTTCTTTTATAAGTGATTTTAACTAAGACAGACTGATCCCATGCATGTTTGAAAGGAGTGGCTTGATTTAAAGGAGTATTGGGAATTTTTTTTAACTTACTATAATTAATTACAATGAATAAAGAAGAAATAAAGTGATGTTGAATATATCTTAGTTTTAAATTATCATTTGCATAAATGAATAAGGATGTTTTTACCATCTGATTGACAAGAATGGGGGAACACTTAAAAGTACTGAGTCTTTTATCTTGGAAGAATGTTACAGTCAAGAAATATTTGTGATCCGACTCAACCTCCTTATCACCTCACACAACTCAGCTCTCTTTTGTTTCCCCTGTAGAAAACACACGTGAAACAGGAGACCCAGCACATGCAGTGTTCAAGAGGATTCCCAAAGAGCACACCCTAAACCAGCACATCATCCCAAGATGGAAGGCCTGTACCAATAAACAGATTTTTAACTGGGGTGGGATAATAGAGGTACAGCAATTTGTGCCATTTAATTCTTGATCCCTATCCATAATAAAGTGGTCTACATGCTATTTACTGGGTATTTTAAAAATTCAAATTTATCTGAGCAAGTGCATGGGTTATGGTGAATTTGGAAAGGAAAGCTTTTATTGCTTCTTTTCTTCTGAGAAATTAACTTTGCTTTATCTGGCCCCACAATAAACTCTGAGAAATGTACCAAAAGATGTTTAAACCACTTATTTATCAGTATTTGGAGATTTCTGTGGGAAACTATGAGTGTTCTGATAAGTTTTATAGCCATTAGGAAGCATGCTATATTATTAGATTCATGGAATAGTCTATAAATGTGTAATATTTATGAAGCTAGAGGGTACAACATTTCTTGCATCCTCTATATTTGCTGCAATCTTTCAGTCCATCTTATCTCCAGCTTATTGTGGCAACAAGGTAATAACCAATGCCTAAACTGAAACTCAACCTGACAGAGCCTGCACAAGGATCTGGGATATGGTTTCCATCACATCAAGATGAGGGTCTTCATATAGCCAGACTTCAATCCAGAAAAATTTAGCAAATCCAAAGCTGTGTAAAGTCCATAATGTAGGGACCCCATAAACTATATGTAGTCACATTCTTAGACAAGCTTCAGAAGTTGAGAAGAAACTTGAGCTGGAGTGGAATATTACCACATTCTTGTTCTGACCCAAGGTTAACATTGATTGTAAGGCAGGAAGCAGTGCTCTAGGTATTATCCATATTCAAGTTAAATTTCTAGAGAGATAATGCATTTAAAGTGGAAAAACAAGAATAACAATAACCAGAGTAATTCTACTCACCTGGAGGGAGAAAGAGAGCTCCTCGAAGGCGGCCTTCTCGAACCTGAATTCGTGTGACACCAGGTGCCACATACCACCTCTCCAAAGTCAGGCTGGCCTTTGGAGCACTGGCAGCTTTATTGTTCACTATTAACTCTAAGTCATAAAGTTTTAATTGGACCTGGAAAGGCTTATTCATCACATCTTTTTTCAACAGTCTTGTTAATAGCTTTTCAGGTTTCAGAGACCAGAAGAGACCCATGGGGTGGACTCCCATATAATCCCCTCCAAGTGAAGAAGCATGCTTCAGGTCCACCTCACCAAATTCATTGGCCCTATAGTGGGCTTGAGAATAAAACATGTTTCCACTTTCATCTTCCAGTGATGCCTGAAAACTCACCATCTGAAAGGGAGTCAGGCCTGTAGCTTGGATGTGCACTGGCTCATCAACAAGTGCACTCACAGGGGTAGCTGTCAACTGGATCATTTTTTTAGTGTGGCACCTGGAATGATTCTTCAGGAATATCTTCAGCAAAACCTCAAAAAAGAAAGAGAAGCAGTAAAATAAAGTAGAGATAAGGGTTGATGAAAGGTGAATTGAATCAGCATTCAGACCACTTAGGAGTCAGTTCTAACCCTCTAGTTCTTTAGAAATTTCCTGATACAATCTTCTAGTACAAGACACCTGAGAGCTTTCAATGAATTTCTAGAAGACAGTAAGCAAGCTGACAAATTTTGTAACAATAATGAACCAGTGTTAAAGAAGCAGCAGCCAAAATATGCATGAATGGTATCAATACATCTAGGAAGATAACACAACCTGTCATACAGAACCTTAAAAAAAATCAAGTACAACAGAGGATAAAACTGAGATTTGGATTTGAAAACATGGTTATTTATTGAACGTCTATATATATGAGACATTTGACTTCACGCTAATCCCTTCCCCAAGTCCTGGAAACAGAATGCTTTGCATCCAAGAGTTTACCTGCAACAGAACATAAAAAAATAGAGGGATCATGGAAGAGGAATACTATACAGCCATGAAAAAATGAAACCATGTCCTTTGCAGCAACATGGATGCAGCTAAAGGCCATTTCCTAAGTGAACTAATGCAGAAACAGATAACCAAATACCTCATGTTCTGACTTACAAGTAGGAGCTAAACATTGGGTACACATGGACAATGGGAACAGTGGACACTGGGGACTGCAAGAGGACGGAGAGAAGGATGGGGGCAAGGGCTGAAAAACTACCTATTGGGTACTTTACTTAATACCAGGGTGACAGGTTCAGTCATACCCCAAACATCAGCATCATCACACGATATACCTATGTAACAATCCTGCACATATACCCCCTGATTCTAAAATAAAAGTTAAAAAAAAAAAAAAAAAAACCAGAAGGATCTTCTCAAAAGAATGAGAATAAAATCTTTGGACAGAACAAAAGGGGTGGTGTGTGTATTGCTCCCTAGAGAAAAAACATCCATAGCTTTGTACTTAGGATTTACCCAAAGGAAAGCAAAACTAGAAGCTGACAAGCCCTTCAGGTACATAAAAGTCTTGCTGAGCTTTTTGTAACCTTTTAAAAATTAAGAAAAGCCCATATCCTTTTGATTAGTGTGAAGAAAGCCACAAGAGTTACCACGGTTCTCACTCTAGCAAACAAAACTATCTGCATAAGCGACAAAATTAGTTTTGGGTTTGTTGGGTGATTTTTTTTTTTTTTTGGTCTTTATTTTTGTTTTGTTTGTAACTCATTAGATTACTGAGAATGCAAAGAATCTACATGAATTGAACTCCAGCAAGTGACAAGCTGCTCCATAGGAAACAGGAAATTTTCTCTCCTACATGCTGATATTCAATTATGATAAAGCAGCAAAAAATAAACCCAACAGAAAAAAAATAAGGAGAAATCAACAGAAAATATAATGTACTTTTAACGGATATGTTGGATTGGTTTGATAAACTAGAATTCCAAGAAACTGTAGCTACAGAGTAAGTCTTTCTCTATCTGCCAACTTTCTGTAGCGCTTCACCATGTGCTCAGACCGAGATCAGGGGTGCAAGCTGAGAGAAATCTAAGGCATTGCAGGCCTTCATGTAAAATAAGGCGGCTGCCTTTCAATGAATGGGGTTAGAGGAGCAGAGTAGAGAGAGATTTCCCCAGACCCAGAGATCCAGGAGCAGGATTGCAAAGCAAAGCAAGCTCCCTAGTGACCCTTATTACAGAAAGATTGTGAATCAGAATCTTTCACAGTTTGAAAAGCTAGCAACACGGCCATAATACACAAAAATCTCTCCAGATATTCAGCAATGCTGAGTCCCAAGACCATTCTGATGAGAAAGGCATAATCCCATACACTCAAAAATATCTGAAGCCAGTTTTGCACTGAATCAAATAAACCTGCAATAAAGCCAAAACCCAGCTCAACTGCACATCAGAATGATTCAGCCCCTAATTCTAACATTCTGACAGAGTAAATGTCAGAGTAAATTACCTCTTTGCTGGAGGTAAACATTATTTATTTCAATCATTACTTTTATACATAATATTCAGGATACTTTTTTTTTTTTTTTTTTTTTTTTTTTGAGACGGAGTCTGGCTCTGTGACCTAGACTGGAGTGCAGTGGCGCAATCTCGGCTCACTGCAAGCTCCGCCTCCGGGGTTCACGCCATTTTCCTGCCTCAGCCTCCCAAGTAGCTGGGACTATAGGTGCCCGCCACCATGCCCGGCTAACTTTTTGTATTTTTAGTAGAGACAGGGTTTCACTCTGTTAGCCAGGATGGTCTCGATCTCCTGACATCATGATCCACTCACCTCGGCCTCCCAAAGTGCTGGGATTACAGGCGTGAGCCACCGCGTCCGGCCGATACATTTTTATTCCCACATAATATTTATACCTATTTATGAGGCACATGTGATATTTTGTTACATGCATAGAATGTGTAATGATCAAGTCAGGGTCTTTAGGGAATTTATTACCTTGAGTATTTATCATTTCTATGTGTTGGGAACATTTAAAGTTCTCCTTTCTACCTGTTTTATTTTATTTTATTTTATTTTATTTTATTTTATTTTATTTATTTTTTTTTTTTTTTGAGACGGAGTCTCGCTCTGTCGCCCGGGCTGGGGTACAGTGGCCGGATCTCAGCTCACTGCAAGCTCCGCCTCCCGGGTTCACGCCATTCTCCTGCCTCAGCCTCCCGAGTAGCTGGGACTACAGGCGCCCGCCACCTCGCCCGGCTAGTTTTTTTTTTTTTTTTTTTTTTGTATTTTTTAGTAGAGACGGGGTTTCACCGTGTTCGCCAGGATGGTCTCGATCTCCTGACCTCGTGATCCGCCCGTCTCGGCCTCCCAAAGTGCTGGGATTACAGGCTTGAGCCACCGCGCCCGGCCTCTACCTGTTTTAAAATATACAATACATTGTGTTAAGTGTAGTCATTCTGCTCTGCCTAGCAAACATTTACCCTCAACTAGACCCCAGTGTCTATTGCTCCCTTCTTTGTGTCCATGAGTTTTCATTATTCAACTTCCACTTGTAAGTGAAAACATGTGGTATTTGGTTTTCTGTTCTTGTGTTAGTTTGCTAAGTATTATAGCCCCCAGCTTCATCCATGTTCCCACAAAAGACATGATCTCATTCTTTTTTATGGCTGTGTAGTATTCAGTGGTATATATGTACTACATTTTCTTTATCTGGCTGTCATTAATGGTCATTAGGTAGATTCTATGTCTTTGAAATTGTGAAAAGCTATTGTGAATAGTGCTGCAATGAACATTCACATGCATGTGTCTCTATGGTAGAATGATTTATTTACATTCCTTCCGATAGATACCCAGTAATGGGATTGCTGGGTCGAATGATAGTTCTGCTTTAGCTCTTGAGGAGTCATTATAATGCTTTCCACAATGGTTGAACTAATTTACAATCCCATCAACAGTGTATAAGTATTTCCTTTTGCCCACCACATTGCCAGCATCTATTATTTTTTGACTTTTAATGATAGCCATTCTGACTGGTATGAGATGGTATTTCATTGTGGAAACCAGTAACATTTTATTTGTTAAAAGTTAACAACTTCAGAATAGATCTAAATGCAACTTTTCAAAAAAATAGGAAGAAGCACAGTGTAAAGCATCTCCTCATTAAATGCAAACTTTCATTTTGTGATGCACTGCAACAAAGTTTTGCATATACCTTGATGCAAAGAAAATTTTAAGTTGCATCCTGTTTAAAAAAACACAAACAAAACTTTTACGAACTGAACAAGGATGACTACAACCATGAAAACAATTTCAGAGAAAGAAAATTTTCCTCCAAGAAAGCATATTGCTTTGTTTATACACAACATGTACACAAGAGTCTTAATTGTACCAAAGGCAATATTTTTATACTTAAATTACAGATCCATGAAGGGAAATAGTTTAATATACCAAAGATAATTTGTTATTTGATGCCCTTAATTTCAATATTTGGGGATATTTTTAAGGTTTTCTCAAATAATGGCATTAATAGTAGCTCTGTACAATTATATTTAAGGGAATAGGAAAATGAAAACACCCTTATATCATATTTCACAAACTATTCTAAAGACAGCAAATTCTTGCTCAGCTGCTTTTCCTTGCTGTAAAATAAGCTACCAGTAATTCTAAACCAATCTAGAATGCATTGTTTCTGGACTAAATATAAGCAAGCATACTTACAAAAATGCTTTGCGATGAGTACTTGGCCTATTTGTCCCCGCAGCCATAAAAAATAATGTGATCATGTCTTTTGCAGGAACAGGGATGAGTATCAAATAGCTAAGGAAAGACTAGAATTTATTTTTAAATTCTGTGACTGACTTCCAAAAATCCCTTATCACTAGAAGTACTGGCAAAATATCAGATATTAAGGATCAGACTTAATTCTTTGATATAAGCATGAAATTGTTACTACTGATAGCTTTCCAGGGCTAGCATAAACCATTAAGTATCCCAAGAAGCATAAGCGACAACAATGAAGTCTAGTATACAATGCAAGGCAGGCTGAATGATAACGATGTTTTATTTTACAGGAAAAGTCAACATTAATAATATACTCTAGAGAAACTATCACCTACTTGGATGTTTTTAACATTATAGCAACTAAAATGTCAAGCTTCAAAATGACCAAACTTGTAACTTATAGCTGGAACATGTTGCTGAATTTGTCATTATAGTATAACTTATAGTGTACAACATCTGAGGACTCAGCAGTATCTTGGCAAACAGACTTACTCCTCCCGCCCATCAGAGGTCTGGAGGGGTAGGGGTGGAGCCCTTTTCTCCCCATCATTACTGAACTTTATACCATACAAGAAATCAGTGAAAGGTAAACAACAAGGTACAGTGTAATTCTATTATATATTTTGCATCTGTTATTTGTGACATATACAAGTATATTTTTGGTTTTGGAGCTATAAATTAATTTAGCAAGCTTCAAAGTTCATAAATTTTAACTTTTCAAATGAGAAGTAACTTTTCAAATAAAGTTTAGGACTTCATGGCTA